CCAGCTAACTCGACCCCATTACCCGCCAAAGGCTTATTAGAAGAGACCCAACAGATATAAGAAACAACAACAACATTTCCCTCACTAGCACCATTTTCCACAACATCACTTTCGTTCCTAACAAGGTTAATAGGATTCGTAGAAGTAGCATGAATGGGAACAGAAGACAAAGATCGACACTCCCCCCTGACATGCCCGATAGCTTTACAGAGATCACAAAATGGAGGGAAAACCTCCATTTGCACTTTCTGGATGTAACCCAACGTATCAAGGCCGAGCCACACTTTATCCTGATAGTTTTTAGTGATGTCCAGTTCAACCAAGACACGCGCCAGAGAGGGCTGATAGCTAATAGAGGTTGCATTATCAACTTTTAGCGGGCGGCAAAACAAAGAACCCAACACATGAAGGGTTCAGAGAGCGAATAGATGGGGCCGCAAATTGGGGAAGGAAATCCAAATGGAGATAACAAGGGATTCAACACAGACATCAAGGGAAGGAGATCATTTCGTAACTTTCATGTAGCAATTGTAAACAAGGTAAGAACAGTGGCAGAAAACCCTGCTATAATCCAGGTCATTCATCAATTTAATCAGCACATGATAAGAATCAAGTAAGGTTACAGAAAAATCAGTAGATAGCTTAAGGTAGAAAAAAAATCTATGGATAGTATCCAAGCTTAGACGACGGGAAGGAAAAAACTAAGGCATACTTGAAGGGTGCCGCCAATGAAAAAAACTACTCCTTAGATATCCACATAGCAGGTAAACCGCGATATGTAGTCGTTTTGATAAACGGAAAACAAACATCCAAAGCAGAACCATATAAAGCATCCAAGAAAGAGCGCGCCTTCTTGGATCCATCCAAAAAAATCAGGATCCAAAAACCGCTTTGTCACCATGCCGACCACAAAGGGCCGATGGGGACAAAGCAGAGAACAAAAAAATGCACGAAAAGAAAAACAAAAGGAATGAAGGACTTCCCTGATGCTATAGAAGCAGCAACAATGGGATGTTGCCGGAAAGAAATTGCCTAGAGAAGCCCAAGCGAAGCGGGGAGGGAGGCCCAAGCTCTGGAAAAAAAACCTAGCTATGGACGAGAGAAAGAAATTTTAATTAGAGAATAAGATATTATAAAATATGGATTGTTAGTTTGATTTCTTACGAATATTATAAAGAATACTGAAAATTTTATATGATATGATGACGATGATTAGGAGAGGAACGTTTGTTAATAGATGTCAGTATTATCGACAAACAATAGTGGTCAGGATACTGATATTAGATAATCAGTTAAGTAAAGACAGTTGGGTGATGGAGATAAGAGGTGATAGTGTGATCGAGCAATGGTGGTCGAATGATGATACTCGAGCAGAGATAGTCAAATGATAGTGATCCGTCAATAGTGATTAGTTGATGATGATTGACCATATGGATATTTTGGATTTTTTATGAAGTATATAATTCATCATCAGAGGGGCTTTTTGGTTGTTTATTATTGGCCTTGTATTTTTAGATGTAAAAAATTATGTTAGCCAAAAAAATTGTCATATAAATAAAATGCCTTATTTACACTTAATTGGGGGTTGCATCATAATAACTCCTCTTCTCATTGTTGTTTATAGTGTATTAATACACAACATAATAATTCTTCATGATAAGTTTTGTTGCTTATTCATGCAATATCTATAACTCTTTTAATACCGATTAAATGTAACTCTCATATTTAATTTTTGTAACTTATCTTCATTCCTTTTTCTAAATACCCCCAAAAATATGAGAAAAGCTCTCAATTCCTCATTCATAAGCTCTAACTTTCCTTCTTTGAAAGAAATAAATTTAGCTTGTATAGATGGAACAGATTATCCCACTTTGCAAGCTCCGGTTGCCCTCCATAAAGAGGTATAGTACTACTGCGTTCTGGAGCATTCACCAATCACGATGGAAAAGAGAGATAGAGTTTGGCGTCAAAATTTTGTACGAAGATCCAACACACAAAAAAATAAGAGAAATGGGCGCATGAGTTATAAGAGACATCAAGATTTTTTCGTGAAAACCCCTGAAAAAGGGATACCACGGGACATTATCAAGTTAAAATGATTTTACTAGTATTTATTGTTGATTATAAGTGAGGCATTTCCTTGGGGGAATGGTCTTGGATCAATATAGCAAATATACATCATATAGAACACATTACATGGTGGGACCGTGGTCGGCCTCCGAGTAGAGGTTTGGCGAAGGTTAGACGGCTAAGTGGCGATCGATGGTCCATCGGTGAGCGACGGTGGTCAGAGGTACCGTAGTCAGCGGGCGATGGTGATCAAAGGGATCGTGGTCAGCGTCTAGGAGAAGAACTAGCTATTGTTGACGGTCGGGAATGGACGGTAGTGTCACACCCCGATTCCGGAAAGCCGTACACCCCGACAACTCGTAATGCGATGAAGGAATAGAAAAACTCATTTTGTATTCACGAAGAGAAACATGCTTATACAAGATATACAACAGGGTATATATATACATTAGAGTGAACAAAAGAAGTGAATTAAAAATCAATTCAATAATAAAAATTAAAATAATTAATATATCCAAATAACAATAGTCATGATACAAGTCAAAAGGAATATAAATAGAATAAAAAAGCAGGAAAGAAACTATCCAACCCATAAAAATCATAGATAAAAAAATGCTACAAAAAAATAAATACTAAAGATAGTCTATTAATGGTAACCCTGGTCTTGAGGTGACGGTCCACCAGACACGCCTACAGGACCTGCTGAAAAGATAACGGGCGAATTTGATAAAGCAAACTCAATAAGTAACTCCTATTTATCAGAACATAAATGGAAAAAGAAATAAGGCATGCATTAAGAACAATCAAAAGAGGAGAGTAGTAATTTATAATCACTATATCAAAAAATCATGATGAGATATGTTATGTTTTTTACAACATATTCTAATATGCAACAACGAAGATTTATTACATGATGATTTCAATGTGAGTCATAATCCCTGACATGGACAAAACTAATAAATATTGGAAATAGAATTGACAACTTAAACAATTATAAAATAATTTTAATACAAATATCACGGATTATGCGTCTAACAAAGAATGGTACGCTTACACCAAAATAAACAACAGTTACTTACTCCTACGCAAGAGACTCAAAGCTCCAAGCCTATACAATATCCAACCGACAAAGACAACCACTTGAAGATCCTACATATGATGATCTAAACTTCAATTAAAAGAAATTAAATATGCAAATTAAAATATTAAATTTATCAAATTTAAAGACCTAATTCCATATATATATATGTATATATATATATAACCACAATTGAAATCTAGCATAACACAAGGAAGAAAAAGAACAAGGGAGGAGAAGGGAAAAAGAAAAAAGGATGAACTCACAATTGGAAGAGGGACTTACTGTAGGAGGAACGAGGAGGGAGGAGAAGGAAGGATGGCGACGACTTTGACGAGGAAGAAAAAATGAGGTTTACAATCCTGCCCTAGCTTCCTCTATTCAGCTTAAATGATAAAAAGGAAAGCAGCCGGCGAGAGGATCTGATGAATGTGGAAGAAAATTGTGATTAGAGGGAGAGAGGATCGCAACTGACTCGCGTGTAGCGTGAGTGGTTCGTTCGCATGCCTAAAGGGGAGCAAGGTGGCTAGCTTGCTCGAGCAGGATAAATCCTGGATTGAGTGAGCCGGTTTGAGTTATAACAAGGAGTTTGATGACAATATGCAACCGAGTGGAGGTCTGGTGGAGATCTACGGATGGGCGGTGGTCCTGAGACTGTTGGCGACCGAGCGGATGCCAGTGAAGATCAACGGACTGGCGGTGATCTGGCAGTGGTCTGTGATTGGGCGGTGGTTGTCGGAAGTTCGCATGCAGCGGTGTTTGGGTTTAAGTCTAGAATCCTTGAACCCTTAGAGCTTTCTTCAATCTCCAGCCAAAATTTTCCCTCAAGTAGAGAGTGAGGGTCTAGGTATAAATTTTTGTGAGTGGAACACCCTGTAAATATGAAGAAGATCCAAGATAATTTTGGAGTGCTCCGTCATACGACTCATATTAATTCCCTCGATCACACAGAGCATTCATTTAATTGCCTTAATGATGTAAAAATTAAGTGTTCTTGGACTCGTTTGATTCGTCTCATCGAGTTGCTCGATTCACTTATAAGCATGTTATATTTGAATATCATTTGGTCATCCAATTTGTGCTTTGAACATTTCAAATGTGCTTCAACCCTCCTATTTTGGCCCATTTGAGCTAAAGATTGAACCAATTTTGGTGTAATTGAATTCGTCTTACTAAGACGTTCCATTTGACTATAAGTTTGCTAAAATCAGAGTTTAAATTACCCCAAATTTAATTTTGAAAGTTTTTAATTAAGATATACCTCTATATTCGTGTTAGAACAAGACGATTTTTTGTAACGTATCAAGTACTATCCTTTATTAGGAGCCTTGATATTATCCTTTATAGGCAAATTTGTGAATGGCACTTGAGGGTTGTAATTTTTTTAGGCATACATATGAATTTTATTCTTCAATAGATGCAACATTATAAAGAACATAAAAAACTAATTTAGTAAAACAAATCAAAGAAGTATTTGGGAAGCTCCCCTATAATGTTCAAAGCTTGATTGTCTACCCCATTAGTAAAGTTAAATAGCACATCCTTGACATTAATCTTAATCACAATATTGATTTACAAGATAAGATGCATATCTGTAAAAAAATTTAGGCTTCATTTGGAACAATTTTCTTACTATTTTTTAAAATAGTTTTCTAATATAAAAATTTGGAAAATTTATATACATACTAAAAAAATTTTTACTGACAAGCTGTTTTAAAAAGCAGCAAGAAGTCATCCCAAACAAAGCCTTAATTTTTGAACTTAAACCCAACTTGTAAGAGAACTTATATAATATGAAAGTAAAACATACATGGTAGATTTAATAAAATCCATTTTACATTAGACAAAAGCATTACAACATTTTTTTTTTTTAATAATTCATCTGTACATTACAAGGTTACAGAATGTGAATTGATAAAAGTTCTGAATCATTCTATTCTATAAATGAAAGAATTGATGATGTTCATTTAATAATTGCTGGAACAAATGACTTCACATACTGCATATGGGATCAGCTTCAACTGCATCTTTAATCTATCTCTATAAGCATGAAATACCTTCATCTCATTGAATTCCCTTAACAAAATTGTTGGGAAAGCTAACATCTTCTAGTAAAATTCTGAAGCCAGTACAGCTTCCTGCAGAAGTTCTTCAGAAACTGAACAAAGAGTTCTGCATGATCCTCTTTCCTGTGCTGTACTTCAAGAGGTTCTTATCAAGCAGGACTTTGGTAAGCCATAGTCTTTCTTTTGATTAAGATGTCGCCTCCAAGGATCATTGTGCAGTTTATAGTGCAATAGCTGTCCATAGAACCATAAAGCAATTCATAAAGAAAATAAAAACTGGAAATCTGCAGTCAGATAAATACTGCAACAGAATAATTTCTTTGGATATGAAACAAAAGATCCTATACAATCTGATCATTAAGATTGTGTTAAAATAATAGCCCAAACTATCTTATACACTCTGTACTGGCCTAGTTATGATCACAAAATCAAGACTTTGGGGATTTTTTTACAAGATGAAATCAATTCGCACATGACAACCGATAAGAAAAATTGGTTTACAAAAGGCACATGAAAATAGAGCATAACTTGTAGGATGGTTGGTAGGCCAATAAGTCAAGATTTCACCAGTGAATAGACTTCATGTCAGCAATGAGAGTATTTTTGGGATGGTTGTAATTAGAGTTGTAAGTGAGTCAAGCCGACTCGAGCTCAGCTCGATAAATGGCTTGTGAGTTGAGCTCGATAAGCTAAGAGCCAAGCTTGAGCTAGCCACAACTCGACTCATAAGCTTGTGAGCCGGCTCATTTATTTTCTCTCTTTCATAATAAACGAGCCAGCTCAAACTCCTAGGATAAAGCTTGAGCTCGAGATCAAACTCGATTAATTAATCAAGCTCAAGCCATGAGTGACTCGAGCTCGAATCAACTTGTTTACACTCCTAGTTGTAATTAACCATAAAATTAGCTAAGAAACAGTTGCAAAAAAAAAAATTTAAGTTTTTTAAAGTTCTGGCTCACATTTTTTCCTATTAAAAATGGGCAACTTTTTTATAGCTATCACATTCTGGTATATCTAATTATGAAAAACACTTTCTCATCATCAATACTTTCTAACAATAACTAAAAAATGATAACTAAACAGAAGTGTAGTAATCATATATAGATTGTGGCAAACACGTCTTACCTGTATGAATGTGGCAAACACATCATCTTCACCAAGTTTTGAGAATTCGACTGACCAATCTTCTTCATCAGAAAACAAACTCCTTTGTCTGTTAGCTTCAAGCAAAATGGAGTCAAGGTATAGGAATCTCTGCCATATCTGGCGTACGTTAGCTAACATGGATTCCACTTGTGTCTCATTGATGCCCTTTAAGAAAATTACACGCCATTAAAGATGGAACAAAAATATAAAGTTTTTTCAACTGATATAGAGGAAAAAAGTTACTATACCTGAAGAATCTTAACCAAATTTGGAATTTCATCTTCAGTTATACGCACAGCAAAACTCCTGTAATTTAGTATATTCTCATATGGCAAGAAAATCCCATCCTGTGGCAAGTAAATTGGCTAAGACTTGAAAAAGCATGAACATGCACTTTAATAAATGTCTGATTGGGATATTTCTAGTAACAATGCAAATTTTAAACAAGCATATGAAAGTCTGTACAAAGAGATCCTTAAAGCTCGCTATGGATGGGATCGAAGAGATAATGCATACAAAGGCAACAACCAAGAGGAGGAAGAAGGAAACAGAGAGAAAGAGTAAGGAAGGGAGATCGAGAGAGTGACAGCGAAAGCAAGGAAAAAGGATTGGATGAGCGACGAGCAACGAGTGGCTTGGAAAGGTAAGAACATTTATTTAAATATTTATAAAATTAAATTGAAAATTAAAAGAATTAATTTAGAAAAAAAATAATAATAACAATAATAAACTCATAGAAAAAGCTTATAATAAGGAAACTGGTGCAAGATGCACAGAAAAATTACCTGAATTATCACAGGAACACATCCTTGGAGAATGCTATCTTCCATGCGGCCACTCCAACCATCTCCAGGAAGGACTCCACAGAAAATAGAGCTTGCCAGTTCCTCAAAATAATTTGAAGAGCGCAGCGGGGTTACTGTAACATTTGATGTATTCTGCTTCCCTAGCTTTCCTTTTTTATTGGGAGTAGAACCAAACTCTGCAGCTAGCTTCTGCCTAATGCCCATACTATACCTGAAATAGAATTAAGCGCAAGAACAGATTCATCACATCAGTACAGGACCAAAAGGATAACAAAAACATCAGCTATAAATTTTTTCCGACACATACGTATCCTCCGGCCGACCATTTTGATAAGCAGGACCTAAATTTCCATTGAAGTAGAATAGTGTAGTTCTTTTCTTAAGAGGCCTGTGCATGTGTTCCAATTGAATATTTTACTATAACAAATCAGCAATCCAACGGCTATCCAGATTGAAATTTCCATTTCAGTACCTATCCCACAGTTTTAACCATATTGCACCAGGTTCAGGTTTCTTCCAAGCTGGGAGCACAAGATCCTTCTCTGGATCAAAACATGGATGGTTACCTCTTCTAGTAGAAGGAATACCGTCCCAGATGTCACCCCAATAAGCTGTAGTTGAGTGGTTGTGTTTTGTATTTGTGTTCCCCCAGTGGACTAACATCATACTGTTCCAGATTTCTTTGGGAGCATAGCAGGCACCTTCATCCCATGCAAAAAACTGCTTTGATTGAACCAGCATTATTAGAATCAAGAGATAATCAACAAGAAAAAATCTAGTCCAGAAATTTTAAGATTTCAAATCAGCATCACCATTATGATAGGAAGTACTCGATGATATCGAGTATTTCCTATCAATCTTCGGAAAATAGCGAGCTTCTTCACAAAAATCCGCACAAAACCACAAAAATAGTTGATAATTTGTATTATTTGATGAAATAGAAACGGAAAATAGTAAGTTACAGTTGATCCTCAATTCAAAAAGAGGATCGATCTCTCCCAAATCTCTAGACGCCGCTACAGCCCAAAGGAAAACCTAACTCTACGAGATCTCAAATTTCAGCCAAATTCAAGATGCCCTAACCCTATGAAAACAAAGTATTTAATGCATACAAATCAAAAGGAAATCTCTAAACAGTCCCAGTCCCTACATTCAATTTCCCTCATAAACTTCCTCAAAATTCCTTCCTAAAACGGCTCCTGTGGACCTGCGGCTCACGCGGCCTGTATAGGAGGCAGAACTCCTCCGCCTTTTTGCGCACTGGTTCGGTCCCGTCGGACCGGTCCATTGGACCAGTCTAACACATTAGCTTTACCCCAATTATTTGGGAACAAAGAAAAGTTTAGAGATACTAAATATCATACCCATATATGATCCCTTCCCGAGGTATGGTTCCAGTATGGATAATGATGAGCTATATATTCATAAGCCTTCTTATAAAAGTCCAGGGCCAGGGAACTTCTCAGACCCATGTGTTCCTGAAATAAGAGCAATTTATTCAGAACTTCTTCATCTTTCTAAAGTTAAATTCAAGACAAGGGGAACAAGAAAGTTTCTGATATCAAATAGAGATGTCAGGCTCTAAGCAACAGCAGATATTACTATGTACATTTTTATACCCGCAAGCTTATATGAGGGGCATCATCTGCTCGAGTGATTATGCATGAATCAAGAACTGGAACAAAGAAATAGTCTGCTTCTTCACCATTCAATGTTCGATAAGAGCTTGCTAGAAGGCTCTCATAAAGTGCCATCTAAAAAATGCAGGATAAGAGAACAGTTGGAGAACTAATTCATGACATAATTATATTGCAATGAAATTGAACTCTTCATCAAATAACACCTGTGCGCCATACAACTGAGAAGTCCACAACGTTCTATTCTTTTCTGTGTATATTCTGTTTACACACTCAAATCTGAAATGCCTACCCTGCAATAACCAAAAATCAAATTGGCAACTATAAAACTGGAAAACAGTTGTCAATCAGGGTAAAGTTAGGCTTCGTTTGGTACGGCTTTCTTTAGCAGTTTTTTAGTATAAAAATTATTATTTTTTACTAAAAAACTGCTATAAAAAGCAATAAGAAAGCCGTCCCAAACGAAGCCTTAATCCAACAACTCACCTCAAGAAGATGACTATTGAAATCCGGAGGCAGATCATACACATATATTAGAGGTCTCTTCTTTTTAACAATAGCTTTAAGTCCCACAAAGTCATTATCTAAAGTTGCTTTATCTGGTACCTCAACTGTTGATGGTCTTAGCCACAGAGGCCACTCCTTTATGGCTGATGAGACTGATGGAATACCGCAATCGATCCCATACCAGCCTCTGTCACACTGCAGGACATCAATTCAATCAAACTAAACTAAGAAGAGAATAAATGAACAGCGGATGTGAGCTAATTTAGTTGGTAAATTTCTTAGAAGTTGTGCTGCAAATGTCTTGGTACTTACCATTCCCAAAAACTAAATGAATAAACAAACATTTCTCATGCAAATGCGTTAACCTTAATCTTTAAGTAAGAAAAAACTATCTTTTGTTCTTAAAACCAATGTAATAAAATATCCTATAAGGCTTGAGATAGTTGGTTCTTGGTTCCATTTATGCTACATGTACTGAGGCTAGCTTGTCTGAGTACGGCCAGAATTTGCAAGGGCTCAGAAAAAACAGCATAGCGTGTATAGGCCTTTAACAAGATTAGTATGCCCAGATATCGAATTGTAGATTGAATTTTCCAGGTAAGACCATCAAAATAGCAGCTCCTATGATTAAGGGATTGCTTAGTTTTTTGCAAAGTAGATACAAAGCCAACTAATGGACTAAAAGTTAACTTCTAAGAAATTTGATTTGTTGTAAAGCAGTAGCATTTAAGGCCTCGTTTGGAATGGCTTTCTTACTGCTTCTTAAAATGACTTTTTAGTATAAAAATTAAAATTTTTGTACTAAAAAAATTGTTTTAAGAAGCAGCAAAAAAACCGCCCCAAACAAAGCCTAAGTTACATCAAGTCACTTTTTTTACTTCACAAAATTGTCGCAAAATAAAGAAAGCTAACATGGAAGCGTGCACTTTGAACTGGTTTTGATTACATTACATTTATTTCAATTGAAACCAACAAGCCCCCTAGAAAAAAAAAATCTTACCACATACCTGGCAAGCTCCCCCACGGCAATATCCATTCCCTGAGCATTGATTAATACAACTGCATTCTGATGGTGTTTCGCAGAATCTTCCCCAGCGGCCATCATATTTACAATCACACTCTTCTTTGAATTTCACCTTATCAGCATAAGCTTCCACCGGGTCTACATTGCACCAGCCAAGTCTGCTGCCGTTAGTTGTATATACATTTTCCAAATCATCTTTTGACCAGTCAGCAATCTTGGGGCCCCCAGGTTCAGAAGGCATGCTAAAGCATATAATCACTTCGAATAATCAGTTTTATATATATCACACTATTAAGAATATGATGAGTAGCAGTATATGAGAGAATTGTAAATATGGCAAAGCATGTATAATATTTTTGTTACTTTAATCTAAATCCACAAGCTTCTGCTACTGGCCTATATGGATACTTTGTCCCTTCCCCACAAAAGCACATCGCTCTAGTCTTATCACAATAAGCAGGACATGTAGAAACAAGCCATGGACCATATGGATTCTCTGGTGATGATGGAAGATTGCAATCAAGTTGCAGATTCTCAGAACATCCTTCACCTATCATGGCAATTAAGATATCAGTATATATATATATATATCTCCAATGAAAAGAAATAAAAGGTGAAAAACCGAAAAACATTAATCCAACATTTGGCTAACTATATTAATATTAAACAAAATAGTGTTGTTTAGTGGTAAATGTTGAAGTTTTCAGAATTAATTTGTTATCAAATTAGTATTATTATATATGTTTAATATTTCTTAGAAATTTATTATCTTAATTATTGTAATATATTCTTATTATGGAGGATATTCTCATTTATTGCACTTTCCTCATTGCTCTATTTTCTCTCCTTTAAATAGGTATATTTGAATTAGCATTATAATCAATCAAGTAAACATGCAGTCTTTAATATTCTCTATCATGATATCAGAGTCACTCTCTAAGCCATCTTTGTTTTCGTCCTACACTCTCATCCTTTGTTGCGAATATTCATAAAAATACCATAAATTGTCTTGTGTGGCCCACCCTAGTCTCGTTGACCTTGCGACCCACAACTTTTGGAATAAAGTGAATGAGATATGGGAGGGCACAGAGGTCTCAACATCCTTCCATAGAAGAATTGGAATGTCTACAACTACAAAAATGGCGAGAAGGTTCAGCAAGGCAAAGAGGCCACAACCCACAACGAACAACTCAAGTGCAAGCAGTCTCACCATTAAGGCACAAAATTCCATATCAAGAGACTCTACCAAGCCCGCGCCTTACCTAATTCTCCACCCATATCTTCTTAATTAAGATATTCCACAATTGAAGCCAATTCCCACCACATTAATCTCTTCAATGACTTAAAGGACTTCTCGTCCCTCGGTGACTCATGGTTTAACCCTTCACACGTTACTTGTGCACCCTTTGCTAGTGCTACTCCGACCTCAATCGTTAGCATAGATTACACGCTTCTTTGACCTTGCATTTCACGTGTTCGAGCTACTATAATCCCTCGGACCACTTTGCTTGCCCACTTATCTCAAAGATCCCATGAGGATCTTGTGAAGATCCTACGAGGATCACATAAAAATCCCCTGAGAATTTTGTGAAGATCCCATGAAGATCATGTGTAGATCCTATTTCTAATGACAATTTCGTCACCCTAGACATCTATAGAGGTTGGCCTATCATCAATCTCTTGGTTACAACTTTTATGGAGAATATTTCAAAAAACTATTAAACAGCTCTTTGCCTGGATTTCCCCATTCTTCTTGCACTATACAAACTCTTGATATGTAATATCTAGTAGTTTTGGACTGGTTCAATATTATCGGTCCCTTGCAAAATAAGAAAAAAGTAGGCGAGTGAGAGTGGAACCAAAGTCAACAAGTAAGAGGAAGAGAGGAGTTTGGGAGAGAAAGAGAGAGATTGTAAAAGAGAAAGTTGGAGGAGAATTTTTGCTATTGATGTTTGTCGAAGGATCTATGCTCGGTATGAGGAAGAAGAAAAAGAAAGAGGAGTTCATGAGTTTTCATTTCGACGACAGGGAAAGAGAAAGTGAATTTGGTTCAACTTGGAATGATGAAATTTATGTTTTGTATTTTTTTTAAATCTACAATTGTAAAATTTTTCAACAAGAATAAGTGCAGTCGGCGAATGCTTTGATTTGGCGAAAATGAAGATTAATTAAGGTAATTAATGTAATTCAAGTATATTTAATTTCAAATTATGTTAGGCAGTTAGGGTCTAAAATTAGATAGTGTAATTGCAATTATGATATGATAGATTAGAAATATTCGATGTTGTTTTAATGGCATTCAATATGTTAAAAGTTGTCTTTGACAGTATTTGAAGTATTCTATGTTATCTTTAACGATGTATGAAACATTTGAATCCTCAATGTTAAATCTTAGTAGTAATTAAATATTATTGATGCTACTTTGAGCAGTAGGAAAATCAAATCATTGAGTTGGATAAAAATACATAAAGTTTTTGAAGAATTATGTTAAATACTTGGAATCCCCAAGTAAAACCAAATTATCTTGATGAAATCAGCGAGAACGATCCACAAATCCAAAGGGAAAAAAAAAGTAAATATATCGCAATAATCAAACTAATGGAAGAAAAATAACAAGATACAATTGATCCTCTATTCGAGAGGAGGATCTATCTCTCTCAAATCTCTAGACACCACTAGAGCCCAAAAACCTAAACCTAAGAGATCTCAAATTTCTGCCGAATTCAAGATGCCCTAACCCTAGGAAAACAAAATATTTAATGCATACAATCAAAAAAGAAATCTCTAAATAGTCCCTACATTCAAATTTCCCTCCTAACTCCCTTAAAAATCCTTCCTAAATAGCTCCCTTTGACCCGGGCATGCATTCAAAGCATACAAGAGAGGCAAAACTTCCACCTCTGTTCCGCCTGGGGCGGTTATGTGTGGACCGGCTGGACCGATTTAACACTACTCCCCTCCCAAAGATCCACCTTGTCCGCAAGGTAGAAAGACGACACCCTCCACCATTCTCGCTTCATCACAAATGGTAAGAACCTGAAGAGTTTGGTCATTACACCTATGCCCTAGCGCATATCTCTCGTCACATCTAAAACAGAGCCCCTTCGCCCTTTTCTCATGTAATTATGTTTATGTGAGCTACTTGAAGTTGTCCTCAGATCTTCCACCAATAGTCTTATCCTTTGGGGTCTCCCGAAGGGTGCCCGGTGTCGGCTCCTTAGATGCCAAAAAGGTTGTTGTCATCCTATATGTACCTCTTGAGCTGTTGCCTTCCGTCCCTTTCTCTAGGTGCCTCTGATCCTCCACCAACTAAGCTAGCTCCATAGCCACTCCCAAGTCACGAGTCCTCATTACTCTAACTACCGCCCGGATATCTGGTTTCAATCCCTTCATGAAGTTCCCCTCTAACATTGTCTCAGAAAAGCAGTCCAATCGGCTAGCAAGGTACTCGAACCTCTTATGATACTCTATCACTGAATCAACTTGTGTCAAGGCGAAGAATTACTCGTAGAACTCTCCTCCCATGTCGGTTCGGAATCGTTCTACCAGACAATCCTTGAACTCCCTCCAACTTCATATGGGTCGCTGTATATCCCTCAACTAGTACCAAACCAAAGTCTTCCCTTCTAAACATAGACCACCTGCTGACAATCTCTCATCTTCCGTCAACCTGTTGACATTAAAGTATATTTCTACCCTGTAGATCCACCAATGTGCATCATCTCCCTGAAAAATAAGCATCTTCAACTTTCTCACTCTCATATCTCCTCCATCAACCCTGCTTCCTCCAAAATTTCCCATTCCACAAGGGGGTGGTTCCCCCCAATTGTGTCAATCATCCCTCCGCTAACACCCAAACCTTTCATCACAAGCTCACCTCCTCCCTTCAAATTCAGCAGCCCTTCGATCATATTCAACCCCTATCCTTTCAAATTCAACACCTTTTCGATCATAATCGAGTCCTCCCCTTTCAAATTTAGCCCCTCTTTTATTAATTTCAACACCCATCCACACATGCTCAACCACTTCATGCCTCTCCACATACCCTTTACCCGACTCCTCCCTAGGAAGCTTTAGGGGAGGCATTTTTTTATGTTCCCTCCAAAATCTCCACCTCTTGATCTTCCCTTCGTCTGATCGGCTTAGAGTTTTCCCCATTTTCTTGGCTGTCGGCGCCTTCACTCATCTCTGACAACGATATTTTGGTTTGGCCCTCGAGCACTTTCTTCAACATATCCTCCAAGATGAAAAATTTTGAATCAAACTTATCATGGATGGCTGAAATATCTTTTTTTTTTAATCTGAAACTTGAGTTTGAAGATCTGAAATTTCATATTTAATTTGTCTGATCTCCCCTTCCAATACTTCTACTTTTCTTCGAGCCATGGGAGCCTGAATTTAGGCTCCAATAGCAAAGAGCAACAAGTTCGACGCGAATCTAGCCTCAAAACCACAATAAATAGCAAGATCAGAGAGGAAAACGCATCAGAAATCAGCGAGGAAGACTTCTATTTCAGCCCAGCAAATTGCTCCGATACCAATTTGTTAGGAAATATTTGGAATCCCCAAGTAAAACCTAAGTATTTTGATGAAATCAACGAGAACAATCCACAAATCCAAAGGAAAAAACAAAAAAAAAAAGTAATTTTATTGCAATAATCAAACTAACGGAATAAAAATAATAAGATACAATTGATCCACTATTTGAGAGGAGGATCTATCTCTCCCAAATCTCTAGATGTCACTGGAGCCCAAAAATCTAAACCTAAGAGATCTCAAATTTCAGTCAAATTCACGATGCCCTAACCCTAGGAAAACAAACTATTAAATGCATACAGTCAAAAAGGAAATCTCTAAACATTCCCTACATTCAAATTTCCCTCCTAACTCCCTCAAAAATCCTTCCTAAACAGCTCCCTTGGAGTTCAGAATTATATTCAATTCTATTTCTATTCTAATAGTATAATAGAATTCTTTTTTCTTTAAAATATCTTTTTTTAAAGAAAGAAGTTCTAAATAAAGAACAAATAAAGAAACAACTTTGCTGACAATTTTTTATTTTTTGTCTGGTCTGAAGAGTCATCTTAAGATTCTGATGTTAGATTAGTTTTGATGGCTTTAAATACGAACAAAAAAGAGAGGATAGGCTTATTCCATTCAAAGATATGGGAATGCCCATCAATAAAAGAAAAGATAAAAGAAACAATTGAGCGTGAGAGCCAAATGAATCGAAAGATTCATGTTTGGTTCGGGAAGAGATATTCTAGTTGTGAAATGAATGGAAAGATAATCTACTTTCATTAAATGATTTATTAGATAAGCGAAAACAGAGGATCTTGAGTACTATTCGAAATTCAGTACGTAGAGGAGCCATTGGAATAGCTCGAAAGAGCTCGGGTTAGATTAAATCTAAAGAGCTAAATTAAGTTTGAATCAATTGGATCATTTATTGTCATAGGAACATTATTAGATCCATATAAAATTAATTAACTTGAAGACAATGAAAAAGAATAATATTGAAAATTGGATGTTTAGCACAATTAAAGAGCAACAACCTATATCTATTTGATAGCGTACAATTTTCCAAGTTACTTGAACATTAAATAAACACTCACAACTCCACTAATACCTCGAAGCACTAATGTGAGAAAATTACCCATCATAATTCTCACTTCCAACGTACAAATAAAGAGTTCAATGTTTTGAATAAAGCTTATCTTTTTATCAATATAAATGCATTAATCAAACTAAGATTGTAGATGAAAAGGCACATTATCGTAATTCAAAACCAAATGTTCGAGTTCTGATGTTAAACAAAAGGTAGCTTTTACTTAAAATTCACCATAAATAATAATCTAGAAGCTTCCTAAAACCAAAGAAACAAAAAAAAAGTAAGTTAGATGTACTAGAACTTTCGTGGCATTACAAGGAGAGAGAGAGGGTTTGTCGCCTTATCATTATAAAAAATTCCATACATACAAATAAGTTGAGAATTAGCTCATAGAAGACATGAAATTTTTTATGTGAAAATTTCATAAAAGGGAAAAATCACAAGAACTCGCCTAGTTAAAATAATTATACTAATGTGACTCATATATTATAAATAATGTCCTTCCCACAATTAGAGAAAACATTGACATAATAGAGTTTACATGAACTATGGAAGATGATTTTTGTAGTGAAAGTAAGAACAACCCTTTTTTTCATAAATATCATCAAGACATCATTGGTTAACTGCTCTTTCATTCTCTTTACAAGGGGAGAGACCATCAACCAAGAAGATGGATATCAATCTTAGTAGAGATAGCAAGTGTCAGCATTGGTATCGATGACAGGCATCGGACTTGTTTGTGACAACAAGTCTTTGCCATGTTGGGGATGACAAGAGTCGCGGTTAGTGTTGATGGAGGGCATATGCCTTCTTGGATAAAGTAGAAGTCAACTTTGGTGTTGACAGCAAGCAACTTGTTGGCGATAGCAAGCATCAGCCTTGTTAGTGACTATGAGTTTCGGCATTGGTGTCGACAATAAACATCAACATTGGTGTTGATGGCGAATGCGATGTTAGTGTCGATGGCGGGTGTCAGCAATTTTGATAACGACAAACGTCAACATTAATGTCAATGATGGGTATTGTTGTTCGTGTTGATGGCAGTTGCCTTCTTTATTGGCGATAGTGAACATTGGTATTGGACTTCTTCATTATTAGCAATAGTAGGCCTCAACATTATTGGCAGAAGGGTTCATTACGGTTACTTTCAATGGCAACCATTGATCTTATGTACAACATCAAAATCAGCTGATGGTGCTCTAGATTCTCTCCTCTAAAATCTTTCTTGGGCTTCATCCTCACCTCCACATATATGTGAAAGTATAGCCCGCTTAGAATTTTTTTGAGATACACATTCTGATCATTCAGTCAAAATTCAAAACACTCAATCGGATTGTTCATATTTATCCCTTTTGCTACTACAACATTTTGCGAGTATTAAGCACCATAATGTCAAAATTCAGTAATCTTGGGCTCAATACATTCTTCACTGCTGAAAATAAAGTTTAGAGGGCTCCGAAGTCAACTCAAAAAATTTTTAATTCAGATTATTGATCAAGATTCATGCTTAATCAAATAAATTTTTTTGGTGATGCATCAAATAGCAGTACATGGATTCAAAGCAACAAAAAAAGTGGACAATTGTTGAACTAATCCATAAGTTTTTACCTAGCCTTTCTTTTACATATGTTTAGGAGTAAATGGCAATAAAATTTTCTTGTTTCTAGTTAGTATGATAAATGCCATACTTTTTTTCACTTTTTTTTTAGTGAAAAAGATATAAGGAAGTATTTCCTAAATATCAAGCTTTACAGATAACTCTGACCTGAATATCCATGAAAGCACCTGCATTGTCCTCTGTCTTTATTGCATACACCTCTACCACTACAATCATTCTTGCAACTCCTGCCACCTATGCTCTGCCCACGCAAGCAACACACAAAATCTATTAGTTTAATAATATAATATTCAAAATATGCTTGATTCGAATCCTTTGTAACTGATCCCAGCCATCCAATCCACTTTGGATTGCTAGAATTGAAGCCATCAAAATCAAAATGGTTTTGAAAAACTGCATTGAATCCCAACCGGCTAGAGTGGATTTGAAGTCTGGGATGAGATAATTGACAAATTGAATAATCGAATACCTTTCAATCTGATAAAACATCAACCAAATCTTCAAAATCAGTACCTCAACAATGTCAATTTCCTTGGAGACAGAATCGCAGCCAGATAGCCATTTCCCAATCTCAGGCTTCCAGGGTGCACCGCGGTATGTTACCGCCCCATGAGAATCCTCAGGAAATCGAGCATCGAAATCAATATTCAGGTCCAAACTTTCATGACTTTCTCCCCCAATCGAAGGTCTTACAGGAAACCGAGCACTAAAGTAATCCAGCGAAGAAGGAAAAATGGGCGTGAGAAAGAAATGCACCACCGAGACCACCACCAATAGAGAACCCACTATCGCCACCAAAGACCAAGATAATTTTGAGGACTGAAACGAAACCATCCTCCCTCGAAGCTTATCGGTGGAAATCCACTCTCAAAGACACAGAGCTCAATCACATCATTCCTAACTCCTCAAAACCCTTAATAAATGACAACAACCGGAAACAGGAAACATAGAAAAATCTCAACCGGAGAGCAACAACATAAAAAAAGATTCGAACTTTCACCTAATTTCAGCGATAATGAGACGAATCTGCCATAGTTTAACCTTTAAATCAAAGAAATTGTTAAAAAAAGAGGGAAACAGCGAATTCCAGTGGATCCGTTGGATCGTTGCCTCCGCTTCCAAAATGTGAGCTTGCACATGGAAGAGTAGGAGAGATAATGACAATTAGAAAGAAAACCGGAACTTGAACAAAGGAATCGATGGGAGAAAAGAAAGAATAAATCTTGAATGGGAAAAAAAAACAATCATTGAGAAGGAGAACGTGAGAGTTAGTAGCGAAGTGGGAAGAAGAAACCAGAGGCGGAAGGTGCCGCCAAGCCTGATCACGCGGGCTTGAAATTACTCTTTCGCCACTGATCATCCACCAACAATAGAGATCAATCGTTCAGCTAATTATACTAATTAGTTCCATTTATTTCAACGAGATTCGGAATAATATTCTCCGCCGTATATCATTACATGAGCACGAGCATGTTCGGTACGGACGGAAAATAATGATATAAAAAATTGTGCACTTTCTCTCCCTCTCTATTTTTTATTCTCAGAGAAATAAATTTTAATTTTAGTGAAGATCTCAGAAATGAAGTATTAAAAAGTCAAATATATGTACTTATTAAATATTAATTGTGATTGTAATATAGAAATAAATTTGGAAAAGAGTTTTCTCGAGCTATTAAAACATAAAATAAACTCAAAATTTATTTAGGATAACTTTCTCATTATTTTAATTTTTATATAAATGTATGTAATAATTATAATTTTATTTGATTATTTTATTGCTGTTATTTCATCGACTTTCAAAAAATTTTGTAATGAAAACATAATTTTTAAAAGCTTTTGGGCTTTTAATGATTTTTTTTTTAAAACTCTAATCTCTGTGTCTCCTAAACTCACATCTTTGATGTTATGTGCGGTATTCCTATTTTAGAGGAGACTAATGAGATTGATTTGAATGATAGCTTAACTTTCTCTTTATCTACTTCTAAGAAAACTCTTTACACAAATCTCCCTATACTAATTTTATTTGGCATAAGAGGAGCACTCTCCTTTGCTCCATATTTGCTTAGAACTTGAAAATGACTAAAAACATAGAACTTTAAATCACCGCCAAAGAGGGTGGAAGGTATCGACTAACCTTCTATATGATGTTATAATCATTATTTGTTTAGGGCTATTTGATGAAGTTTTATTAGGTCTGGACACCTGACGTAGCTCTACGTCAGGACGCCAATAAATGTCGTCATGTGCTCTTACTCATTACCGCGCGGCCTGACAACCCGACCGGACCGGAACCCAATATTGCTATGTATTAGCTTATTTGTACAGACCAGGGTATTGCTAGGTTTTGCTCGGGTATTGCTCGGTAACGAGAAATACCATTCTGTTAAGACCAATACCGAGCAATACCCCGATTTTGCTCGGTATTTCTCATTATTGCCAAGCAATACCTAGCAATACCGAGCAATACCTAGCAATACACGAACATAGCAATACCGGGTTTCTGTTTCGGGTCAGGTCATCGGGCCGCGCGGTAAAGAGTAAGAGCACATGACGACATTTTATTGGCGTCCGGATGTAGAGCTACGTCAGGTGTCCGGACCTAATAAAAAATCACAAAGTATCCGTTCCGGGTCGGGTCGTTGGGCAGCGCGATAAAGAGTAAGAGCACATTGCGACATTTTATTAGCGTCCGGATGTAGAGCTACGTCAAGTGTCCGGACCTAATAAAAAATTTGATTTGAGTAGATATATGTGTTTTGAAAATATTGATATTTAGTTTAAATCAAATGAATGCAGAAAAAAAAAATTTTTTTTTGATGAATTCCAAACTCCATCTATAGTTCCTTTTTTATGTATTCAAAACTCACTATATATTTCTAGCAGTTTATATTTTTGCAATTTTTTCCTTCTGCGCTTAAGTAATACATCTAACTGTTAAAAAAAAAAAAAAAGTTATGTAAAGCATTTCAAATAAATGGGTTTTGAAAACATTGGTATTTAGTTTGAAGCTTTTTTTTTTTTATGAATTCAAAACTCACTCTATGTTGGACAAATTCCAAATGCACTACTAGACTTCCCTACTATCACAACCAACTATCACTCGCCGGCCACCTCAGTATAGTCACTGCCACTATCGAACACCAGCATATGTTGACTACTGCACCATCATTGTCCATCACCACCATCATTACACTTTACATTACACTGATTTTTCTTTAAACCGAACACAGAAATAATCACATACATTTATTTTGCACCAGTCCAAACAACTCTAAATATTTCTAAGTACAGTTCATTCAATTTATACTAAATTTTATTTTGCTCTATAGTTCATTTGTAGCAAATCAAATAGCCTCTTACCAACTATTTGAGACAGTTTAGCTTTCAGGATGGTGATTTTGAGTGTATGAATTATGGTCCATCATTTTTATTTTTATTTTTTTCAGACTGTAACATACAAAAACCCCTATCTATATATGCTTTTACTTGGTTTTGTTCAACCTATAAATTTGATTCCTCAAATACTGAGCTGACAATTTTATTCAAATTTATTTGACAATCCAAAACATAAATAAATCTAACATGAATGAATATAAATCAGTTCATCAAATTGACTAATCCCCAATAATTAGAATGAAACTCCAGAAATCAAATAAGAAATTAAGACTTCATTTGTGACAACTGCCTTAATGCTTTCAAAAGCAATTTTTTAGTACAAAAATTATCCGTTCAAGATATTTTTACACAAAAAGCTGCTTTATGCATCATTCGGGGCAACTTTTTTAATGCTTCTAAAGCAGCTTTTTATTACAATTTTTTTAGTTTTTATACTAAAAAGTTGTTTTAAGAAGTAATAAGAAAGTCATCTCAAACGAAATTTTAAAAAGCAATAAAAAAGCCGTCCCAAACGAAGCCTAAATCAACAAATAAAAAGGTATAATTACATGTAAGGCTTACAGTTTCAACAACACTGTTCACGATCAATCTGAGTATTCTGTACCACCCTCAACCTACACAAATGCCAAGTCCGAATAAGAAATAAAAAATAGAAGTTTCTGGAACGTTAGCTTTCACAGGACATTTATATGAACGGTAAGTTAACCAGCATTTAGAACCATCTCAGCCACAAAATTTCAAGCTCTAATAAGGAATATAGGGGAATGAGAGTTCAAAGCTAAGCATGTTGAGATAGTGGTGAGTTTCTCAACCATAAGGTCCGTCCCAGTATTACATTTCCATGAACAGCAAAGTAACCCGCATTTAACCTGAAAAGATTCATATTGGCAATTAGACATATTCCAAAAATAGTAATAACCACAGTTTTTAGGATTAATTATTCTGTGCGGACGCTGAACGCCGTCCGTAGACTAGCCAGAATGCGCCACGTCACTCCTTGCTCGGTACCGCAGCTCCGTACTGCTCAATACCGCGGCTCGGTACTGCTAATGTGGGGCATTCTGATTGATCTCCGAACGGCGTTTTGCGTCCAGTCTCCGCACAAAATAATTTCTCAATTTTTAGGCATATCCATTTTAATCCTACTTTTTTTTTCAAGTATTCAATATAGTCCATCAACTCACTAAATCTAAACTAATCTAGTCCTATTATTAACTTTCTATCTAAACTAATTTAGTTTTATTGGCGAAGTAAAGCTTTTCATAAGGAAACTAGGATCAATATTCTCATTAGTTTAAGTGAGTGTTAACACTAAAAAATCCAAGATTGGAAAACTAACGTTCATTTCCATCCATAAAATGAATTTTTAATAGCAGGATCACAGTATCTAAGATTTGAGGTATTGAATTTACTAAATTGAACACTTGAAAAAAAATCTAAGATCAAAATAAATACACCTAATAAATTTATGGGCTATTTTGATCATTTACTTGTTATGAAAAAACAAAACATAAGAGAAAGGATGCTGCTTAACTTGTCAGGACTGGGGATAACCAAAGGATCGTAAGTTTCTTCTCTTTGTTCCAAGGTAGGAATTGCAGCAGTCATGGATGCTACATCTGATACGCTTTCAACCTAAATTGAATAAAAACAAAATAAGTACGTTCAATGATATCAAATCAAAATAAGAATTCATTAACAACAGTTAGATGGATTCACCACTAGCCGAGTAGAGAAAACGGCACAAAGAACAAATAGAAGTTTAAATTATGATGTGTTCAAATTCAGTTTCATTCATGCTCAAAACCAATAAAAACAAATACAGTAAGAAACAAAAAAATTTAATCACTCGTAATATTGGAGCCATCAAATTGCAAATAGACTTCTTTTTACTTATAAGGATGAAATACTTTTTTACAAATATTATAAGATTATAACAAGAGAGAGTTTGATTATGCAACATAGAGTAATAGTTATAGATATATGTTTTATGAGTATAGAAAATAATCAAAAGAAATAATTATCCTAAGATAAGAGGGTGAAATCTGAAAGGGGAGAAATTATTAACCCTCAAAAATAAATTGCTAAGAGAGGTAAGTTAAAATTCTTCAGTTAAGCTGCAATGGATGTAGGATAGGAATAACTAGTTTCCTAAGAAGATTGTTGTAAATGTTTTAAAAAAGATGAGATACATACTACATATTGATAAGAAGACTTGGTAGTAGAGTGATGTGCAAAAGGTTATAAGGAAAAATAATATGCTTCGAAAGAGCAAATAAAAATGGAATGCAACAAGCCTCATAATGATTATGAGAAGGTTAGTTATATTATAAAGAGTGGTACAACAATAACATCAAGATTTCATCCCACTACGTCGAGTCAGCAATATAAATCCCTTTTCTCCATTGTGCTCTATTAAGAATCAAATTCTCATTTAAATCTAATAAAACAAGGTCATTTCTTATACTTTTTAACCAAGTCTTTTTAGATCTACCCCTACATTTCATAACATAGGCCGCATCTAATACATCTACTCTCCTAACCGGGTCATCGTTTGATGTGGCAAAACCACCTAAGGCGACACTCTCTAGTCTTATTCGCCACTGGAGCTACTCCAGCCTTTTCACATATATACTCATTTCGCATTATGTGTCTAAATGTAAAGCCACTCATCCACCTGAGCATCCTCATCACTGGAACACTAAACTTAATTTTATGCTTCTATTTTAATAACCAACATTCTGCACCATAAAGTTTTGCAAGTCTCACCACTATCTTATAGAATCTCCCCTTAAGTTTGAGGGTACTTTTCTATCACACAACAGACCGATGTATTCCTCGACTTAAACCATCCAACTTGAATTTTACTAATAATATCTCCATCTATTTCACCATTGCTTTGAACAATAGATCTGATATATCTAAAACATGTACTCTTTTTGATGACTTGATCGCCCAAAGTCATAATCTCCCACTAGATCTATTATTACTAAAATTATACTCTATGTATTCGACTTTAGATTTACACAAATGAAAATCTTTACACTCTAAGGTAGACCTCCATAATTTAAGTTTTCCTTCAACTCCCTCTCTAATCTTATCAACAAGAAGAATATCAGCAAAAAGCATAAACCACTGTGCATCCTCTTACAAATGACTCATAAGAACATCCATGATTAAAGAAAAAATATACGGTCTTAAAGCTAATCTTTGATGTAATCCAACTGAAATAGGAAAATACTTTGTCAAACTACCTTATGTTTGAACACAAGTAACAACTCCTGTTTACATATCTTTAATGACTTTAATATAAGCACTATTAACTCCTTGCTTTTCTAGAACTCTCCAAAGCACCTTTTTGAAACTTTATCATATACTTTCTCTAAATTAATAAATATCATAAGTAGATAATATTAAGAAATTATTAAATGAAAGGAAAAATGCTACATCAAGAACTTATTAAATGAGAATAATAAAAAGGAATAATGAACAAAATAATGAGTTTATTATAGATTAATCCAAAAAAGTAAAGTGAAGTAAGAGATACAATTTTAGGTCCAAATGTGATAACTATTGAGATTTAGAGAGAGATGAGAAACCATACAATATTTTATGTAATTTTTTTCAAATAATTGAACAATAAATATTTTGGAATTAATATTCAAGTACAAAAGAGACGTTCAAGATTATGCTAACTATAGAAGAATCAACTATATAAGTTATACAATATGGTTATGTTAAAGAGTAGCGGAAAATAGATTCACAAAAATTACATTAGTTTCAAAGAATCAATTTGATTTCATGCCAAGAAAAAATAAAATAGAAGCTTTTTTTTGTATTAAGCTAGTTGATGATAAGTATAAAAGGCAAAGAAACAATCTTCATATGATTTTTACAAACCTTGACAATCGAGTACCACGAAAATTATTTTTGTGCATATAAAGGAAAAAACATGTTCAAAAGATATGTTAAAATCATTAAATATACATAGATGATAGAGCCTTAACTAGTATTAAAAATAGTTGCAGAGCAACCAAATCAATTAAAATAGAATTATATCAATGATCAATATAAAGTATATATCTTTTTATATTGGTTATAAAGATGTTTACAAAAGATATTCAAAGTGAAGTGACCAAACTTTTTAAAGATGGCATAGTTTTAATCAATGAGATATCTTCCAATATAAGTAAAAAATTTATAGCAACAAAGCAGAAGATAAAGAGTTTAGAATTAGTTGATCAAAGACTGAGAAACATAATGTACAATTTTAGTTGATGTCATATTAACAATTATTAATTAATATTATCAGAAGATGAAGATGAAGTGATGTATAGATATAATAAATTTTAGTATAATAAAATATATTATATAGGAAAATAAAAATATTCATGAGGATATAACTTCTAGAGTTAAAGCTAGGCGGTTAAAATATAGTAAGCATCTTGGGAGTGTTATTTGATAAAAATATATCTTAAAAACGTGAAGGTATATTTAATAAAATTATAATGGTTTGATGGTGTTATATATATCAAAATGTTGAGCAGTAAAAAACCTTTCATACCTAAGGTGAGTATGCCATAAATAAGAATGTTAAAACTGATATAAAATAAACAAAGGGATAAATTAAAATAGACTTAAATGATTTAAACATATACAATGGATGTTAGAAAATCACAATTAGACACGTAAAAGATAAAAAGAAAAAAATTATAAAGGAGTAGACCTAAGATAATATAGATAAATTTGTTCAAAATGATTTACGAAGAGTATATTTAACACCTCAAATGGCACTCAACATGAATAAATGGACGATGAAGATTTATAAATTGACTACAAATAGTTAAGATATAATCATGAGAATGATGAAGATTAAAATATTCATATAATTAGAGTTAAATTTGCAATTAAAGATAAATAATCCTAATCCTTGTCCATTCCCTAAATTCACATGGTCACCTCCCACTCCACCATTCCCAACACCACCATCTACTTCACATCTCTTTTTATTCCAACTCCTATAAACCATATCCTCATCTTCCCCCATCCCTTCTCTCCCATCATTTTCCTCATCGCATAATATTCTATTCCTTATTCCAAATCATCTTCTTCTCCCTCTCTCCAACAAGCTTCCTCTCCAAAGCTTGCACAACCGCATGGACGATAAATAGTTATTGTCTTCTACTCTTCCCATGCTTCATCATTGGATTAATGAAGGTGATGTTCAGATAATGAAGATGATTTCCTTGAATAGTAAAAATCTCTTGAGATATCACTGTTGTAAATTAGGGCCATTTTGATCATGCTTTGTTCTCAATTTCTAACGGCCATAGTCCTCCACACCCTCCAAGAAATTTTCCCCACTTTTTATCAAGTTCTAATGTAGCATTTTCTTTTCCAAAGGCCAACCAAGCTATTTATTGAGCTCAATGAATCAAGCAAAACAAAGGGACCGATTCCAAGCTTGAATCAAATTGTCTTTGTTGATAGATTAGAGCCCAAGGGTAGATTAAGTTGAGCTCAACTCACTTAAACAATTACCAATGGAGAGTGAGAAATAAAAATAAAGGACTAAACTAGTGGGAGTTAGGTTTGATTGCGAATTCCACAAATCATAAAATTTAATTTACAACAAAAATTTTAGAATTCAGGATGATAAGCAAGATAATATGAAAAAAAAGTTTGATGAGTAAATTTAGTTCCTTCATAAATGCAATAAATACGTAGCATACAGATCACCTCACTCTAAACTATCAAAAAACGAAGTCTATCTTACTAAAACAATGTTTCTTTATACAACCAAACTATCTAGGTGACAAATCTAACATAATATATTCTAAATAAATGTCATGCTACATAGCTATTACCTGTTGAGGATATTGTCCATATCCTCCATAAGCACCATATGCATATGCGGATGGATCTTGAGCTGCCCCATAAGCATATGGATCGTAGCCATAGCCATAGTATGCATTTGCCCATTGTGTAGGGTCTGCTTGTGGGATCCAGGCACCGGTTGAATCCTGCAAAAGAGAAAATTAAAGGGTAAATGTTAAGGCAAAAATCTAAGCCACTCCAATCAGATGCCATACCACTTTTTTTTAATACAATTAACTTCTAACGGACCTCATGAACAACTCGGACTAACTTGCATTAAACTTTAATTCACGCCAAAATAGTTATAAAAGGACAGGACAAACAATAGGAAATGCTTAATCATGTATTGCTTTTTGGATTTCTTTTTTTTTTTCCACGATGGTAAAATTAATATCAATATGGTTAGTGTTACACTCCGGAAGATGGATTTAAAAAATAATCTTTAAAATTAATTTTAAGAAGAAAATGATAAATTTGTACTATATAATTTAATAAGCGTAATTATCAGTGATAACATAAATATTTAAATAGATCATGGTAACATGCGTATTAGTGGTAAATTAAATATACATTTAGATCTCAAAAGCATGGATTACGAGAAAATTCATGGTAGATATGAAATAATGAATAGTACATTGATGAAGAGGTTATTTTAGATTTGGCAGCAATATAGAGTTTTACAATAGTAAAGACGTACTTTAAATAGGAATTAGAACCTGAACCCGACCCGTTTGTTAAACGGGTCAACCTGAAACACGACCGATCTTGATTTTGCTTAAACTTGGCACACAGGATGATGGGGACAACAGATCATGGAAAGTATATCAGAGACGTGGCCGGCGATCTACGGCCACGATAGCGTCGATCTATTTTTGAGTCCTCACATGTATTTGTTTAGTTGTATTTCCCTTTTTAACCCTTACTTAAGGGTTCATCATATGTAAGCCTAAGGGCTACGTCGTCTTTTATTTTTTCGTTCATTATATGAGGCTATATATAACCCTCTTAAGTTTCTTTTGAAGTTAATGAATGAATTATAATCAAATTTCTACATATTGAGTTCTTATGAGAGCTTGAGAGGTTTTGGAAAGAAATGCTTTGGAAAGGGAAGCAGATCACCCACCAACCTTGGAAGAGTCCGGGTTCGTGGCTATTTTCATCTTATTTCTTTTTTCCTCTTTCTTCCTCCCTTCCCCTCCATCCCCACGGCCCACCTACAATCCTAAGCCGCCAGCCACCTCCACAAACTTCCCACTGCCGTCCAACCACAAGCCCACCATCCCTTGTCCTTTGGCTAGCACCCCAAGCTCTCCACCCCCAACCCAACCCCACCTCCCCTCAACCAAACCGGCGACCAATCCACCTTAGCCGCCGGCCCCCTTTGGAATTTCCACATCAAAGCATGTAATCAAGCCTTTCCAATTTAGTCTTTCTAAGTTAGACAACCTATTTAATTCATATTCAAAGCTAATTTGAATTTGAATTTTTTCCTAAATTATGAAATTCTATTTTTGGAAAGTTTCTAAAACTAAATCCTATTTGAATTTAAATTCAATTGGATTTAATTAAACCTTTCCAAATCTTCAAGTCCAAAACAAGCAACCCTTAATTGCATTTCCCTAATTCCTACTTCCCTATTGAAACCGTCGGCCTCCTCTCTCTCTATGCCGCTGGCCCCCCTTTTAATCCCCACTTGATTTCTTTCCAAATTGTAAACTTCTCTCTTTGGGAAGATTTCAAAACCCCTCCCTCTCACCCCTCGCCTCTTTTAATTCTTTCCAAACTTAAGAATAAATAGGGAAACAAATTCTCAAATTTTCTTCCATCATTCCTCTCCAAAATCTGAACTTATTTCTTCCCCAAGCTCCCATCTTTGGCCAGCCACTTCTCACCCTTCTTCTCCACTTGAATCCTTGAGAGAAACTTCTTTCTCTCAAGGGGAATCTTTAAGGGAAGCCAAGGATGTCGCCTACAACACTTCAAACCTACGAATTCGATGTATGGTCGATCCCGATCTTGACTCCGACTTCATCTACAACGAGCAAGGATTCGTCGACATCCTCCGATCGACTTTCTTCGACGTCAATCCGCAAATAGACCATTCCGCCGAGGAGTACTTCAATCGTATTATCTTCACCTTGTCTAAAGCGATCGAAGAGCAGATTTCCACTGTTCAGTGGCAAGTCACCACCATCCCATGACGAGGGTGAACTTTTCCTCCTATTCAGTTTTCTCCTAACCTTCTTCTCTTGAAGGTGGTGAATCAAACACAAGGAATCGTGCAAAGCTATATGCCAATGCTTAGTAAACGTAGGGCTTGAGTTTTTATTTTCTATGCTTTCTAATCTCATTGTTAACCTAGGGATGCTATTGAAAATCTACTTAATTTGCATAAGTTGAAATTCTAATTGATTTGGTGATCTCAACTTTTAGCATGTGATTTGGCCTAAGCGGAGCCACCTCTCTTGTTTTCTATTATCGTTTATTGGCTAACGTTTTTAATTCTTATTGCTCTTATTCAAAACATGCAAGTTCTCATCGCACTCATTTAAATCATACATAGTCCTGCATCACAAGTAATTCAATTTGTGAAAATTAAATTACAATTGTTCACTGATTTAATGTGGTTCTAAGGCTTTGTTTGGGGCAACTTAAGTTTTTTTTTTTTTTTTTTTTTTGCTTTTTAAAGCTTGTTTCACAGCCACAATTTCAAAAATGATTTTTCAAAAACTTTTTAAAAGAAAAAGTTTGAAATAACGATAAAAAAGCTATCTTCCAAACACATTATTTTTTGCTAACCACATTTCTTACCACAAAAGCAGTCGAAAAGCTATTCCAAACAAAACCTAAAGTTTCTCTTAATTTCTCAACTTTTTTCATTCATTTTATTATCGATTGGACTTAAATTCTAGCATTTGCATGTTAACATTTAAAGGAAATAAGCGGTTGAATTATTTGGCGGCTTGTAATCTATGAATCCCAAATTCCTTTGCATTCATTTATACTATATATAATATCAGCTGATTAGGTAACCTTAACTCTGAACCGACCTACCCTCATGAGTGCTAACTTAAAAAAAAACTCATGGCTAGAGAGAGAGAGAGAGAGAGAGAGAGAGAGAGAGAGAGAATCACAGACTATGTCATAATATACCTGCTTGCTTGTTGGGCTTCTACCCCACGAGAGCCTGACAATTTGTTGACCAATCATGGTTCCATGCACCCTCTGAATGGCATCTTCAGCAGAAACCCTGACGAGCAAAATAAAAATAAAATTATACCGGGAATGTACACTTTAAGCCTCACAGCAAACGATAACTCAGAAGGTCAGACCAAATAAAACCTAATTATCAAAGATCAGGGCTGACTGTAAAATGGTACAAATCAAGGGCTAAAAACTTACAAATAAAGTGAAAGAAATATAAATTTCTCAACATACCTTGCAGCATATTGTACAAAGCCACACCCTTTTCCTCCTGGGATCTTAACATAGACAAGCTCACCAAATTGTGCAAATATCTGCCTTAGTTCTTCTTCTGCAACATTAGGATCCAATCCACCAACAAATATCTGCAGGCAAAACACGGTAAGAACAAGGTGCTGTTGAATGAGTTACAGAATAAAAAATTTACAGTTGTATTTGTGATGTCACTGTCAGGCAAAACTGGGGGCAACTGTGGTGCAACATAAACTGGCGTTGGATATGCGGCTGCAAAAGCAAAGAGAATAGTTTTAAATGTGCATCATAACAAATACACTCAGAGCTGAAGGAACCAAAATCCCACCTTTAACAGTTGTATATGTTGGCTGAATCCCAGTAGTCTTTTTTGGTGTGGCTGCACTAATGCGCATTGGCCTGGTTGAGCAATAAACTCCATTCATTTCAGTCATTGCTCGATTCCTTTCTATCTCATCAGCAAATTTAACAAAACCATAACCCTTTGAACGACCAGTATTAGGATCTGTTACCACTTTGGCGCCTCTAACTGATGGATACTGAGAACGGAATGTTTCTTGCAGCAAGTAATCGGTGACATCTGGTGCCAAATCACCAACAAAAATGGAATGGTCAGGCCCTTCTCCCCGCTTTTCACCAATGCCAAAAGAAGCCCAATTAAGCCTAAAAGTCTGCTCTGTTCCAGGCATCTGCAAACCATTGTATGTCTGCAATATTCTCTCAGCTGCTGCATGAGAAACGAACTCTACAAATCCATAACCTTCTGGAAGTCCAGTTATCTTGTTGCGGATGACCTTAATAGACAGAACCTGCAACAAAGAAAATCATTATACATTAAAGCTGTAATTAAAAGATTGGAAGAACATGTAATTTGAATTTCAAATAAGCAAAATCAATTAAGTCAGGCAGTCACTAAGATATCAGAAGAATTTCAAACAACTATAGCAAAAAAAAACAACTAATTCAAAAAATATGAAGTAGAAAAACTGAAAAAGACGTCTGGTGCATTGAGCAATAAGCAAAATCAAGGAAGATCATGGAATTCCACTTGTGTTCTAAAATTTAAAATGATAATAGAAAAAATATTATAGAAATTAAAAACTAGTTGATTATAATAAACAAGCACGACATGGTACACAGATATATAGGAATGACCTATCCCATTTTAACAAAACAGGATGCTAGGGCAAATGTGACTATAATATGCAAAGAGTACTTCAAACTAAGCACCATTATCATTAGCTTGATCTCAAAAAGAATACATAGAATTGATTCATCAAATAAAGCATTATTGGCAAGTTCTTGTTCAAGGCTAATTTTCTATTTTCTTAAAACTGACGAATCATTTATAGAAAACAGAAAATAAGCTGGAACAAAGATGTACCAAGAACACTTTACTACTCATTGGCTTGTCAAAAGTACTTAGGTTCGGATTTATGAATCCTCTATCTTAATTCGCTCTTTCTATGTACTACATTAGGTATTAACCAACTCTATCTAGTGCAAGACGTTCAGCACATCTTATAATCAAGCTATTTTCTTCTACACATTTTCCTTCCTATATGCTTTCAAATTGATTTTATGATCCTATCTTCCCATGTCATTGATACATCTTCTGACTTCTACCCTCAACTTTACATTCCCAGACTACAACGTATATTTTTCAGTTTTCATTACTTTATTTTCAATTGATGAAATCTCTCAAACTTGTTCATTCCTCCAATTATGATTCCCAATTTTATCATTTATTAATCTCCACATTCCCATTTTTTCACATTTAAATTAATTGTCATTCTATTTTTTTATTTTCCAACTATTAGACCATGTAATATAAATGATAACATTCCAATTTATGAAATGTAACTAAAACCATCATACTCACATATTATATATTAATCATGAATCACTTCTCCATGCTAGCCACACAACTATAACTTTAAAATATCTCCTAATTTATATTATCATTCTTTTGTATATAAACAAAATACTAGAGAAACTATCACATATAGATACCATATGATTTTCCATCAATACTAATTGATAATTATCCATTTTGCAATCGTTAATACTTGCTTGTTAATGAATTCTTTGTTGATTGATATCGGCATCCATAAAATAAACGATCAAGGTGCAATTTCATAAAATTTACCTTTAAAGCTCCATGATATTTTCCAAGAATGAGATGCCCCTACAAAAATTTCTACATTCTAACAATGTAGCTTAAAATTTGAAATCGAATCCTAATTTAATATATCTACGTTAACTTATAACACTGCCTAGTTTTCTAATAACATTCAACAATGATCAATTTAAAATCAATTAAAATTAAATTGCCTATCAGGTACCTTATATTTGTTATACTAACATAAGCTCATTCCCTTCTAAAAGTTTCATCAATAGTTACTGTTTTAACTTTCTTTAAAATAGATCTCAACTAACACAATTATGTCATCAATAAATAGAATACAACAAGATACCCCGTATTATCTCGGGATCACTATACGACAAAGAACTTGGAAACTTAACGACAAATTTTATGAAACAGTAATTAACATGCAAGGATATATGAATTTTAGTGTCGGACCAATCATTGATAAACAACTTTAGTGTACCTTAATTAAATCATCTAAAGCTATCATTGAAAAGTGACCCTATACCTTGGACAATCTCGTATGATATGTGAATTATCCAATGATTTTCCCATACAGCTCTAGCCTTCTCTTTAGATGATTTTAAGAGGACTAGATACCTTCCATAGGCTAATTTTAGTAACTCTAAACTACCCTATAGCTTAAGTCAGCTGACCACAATAGACCCAGTAGTCCCTTTAGCTCATAGGCTAGCTAGTGGAGGATCTTAGATATTCATAGCCCTTCTAATAACCCTCCCACAAACCTTTAGAGCCCCTAAGAGGATTCCAAGTGGACTAGAAGCTTCACCATAGGACATTTCCAGTGGCCCTAAGTTTGTCAAGCTGAATCATACTCCTTTAACTCCAACCTTAGTTTAGACGAGTACAAGTAGTCTAGATGACTCCTTAGTTGGTTATGATAGACTCTATACTAATTAGTGGCATATCCTAGATAGCTTAAATAATCCTAGGGTTTTCTAGTAACTAGGTTAATTTTAAGCCAATGTTTGCGACCTTGAGAAAGACACGTCCCACCCCCTGGTGAGCCATGTCCATTGTCATAGTCTCTTAAAATTCATAAAACCTGAATCATAATAAGCCTAAGCTGTTTGAACTAAGATCAAACCCATTCTCTAACAATAGTCCCTCTGCCCCCAAACATGTGTCTTAGGAGTTGAGAATGAATTTATTTTCACTCTCTTAGCACTTTTCAAACTAACTTTGTCATAGCCTAGGACTGTATAAAATGCGTGCCAATCTTTCAACACTTACTTTCCAGAGAATTCATTTACCCTGCAAACCAATTTTAGGCTACCCAACACCCCTTCAAATCTCTAATTTGGTATTTTAATGTCCTTGTTGAATACTACTCGGACATTCTCTAACATTGTCACATCGAGCATAGTCCATTCTCCTCAGAAATTCCTCCATAGACATTAATAGAGTTTAATTCTTCCTATATGAAGGCCTGCATCAGCCAAATCAATAATGACTAGCAGCTCCTTCAACTAATATTTCCTGCATGGTAAAGCATGATGTTTATGCATACTAAACATGAAGCTCCCATCAACTCATTCATTGCAGCATGTATTAGAGAATCAAAATGAGTAAATGTATTAATATGAAATTAGTTATTATACTTTCCGTACTGTACTTTCTTTAAGCAGAATATTGTGTATTTACTTCTTTACCATAGACTTAAAGTCTATATATTCAATAGTTCTGTACTCTGAAGAGATGAGAAATAATATTCATTTCTTACTTTCATCATGCTCTGTTTCTTCTTTCTCTATCACCTCTCTGTCTTCTTCCATTCTCGATTCTAACTTTCCAGCCTCTCAAGAAAGCAACAGAAGGTTCAAGATCTTCTTCATGGTATCAGAGCAGGCTTGAAGACTGTTCAAGAAGAAGATAGATCAATGTCGGGATCTGCAACATCCGGAGCAAGGAATCCATCAGAACAAATGGAAGAAAACACAGCAAGCATCTCATCGGCACTCAAGTTTGTGGTTTCTAATCTCAAGAACATAGTGCCAACTCAACTTTCTACGGACAACTATTCTTTATGGAGATCGCAAGTTGTGAAACTTGTTCGCGCAAATGGATTCGAAAGATTTCTGGATTCGGCTATCCCTCCACCACCCCGTCTGCTGGAAAATTCCCGTGATTCTTCTGTCTCCTCCGTCAATCCCGAATACGATCAATGGATCTTGACGGATCAAAATCTTGCCGCTGCAATATGCGCTACAATCTCCCAGTCGGTTCTTCCTTACATCATCAATCTTGAATCCACCTCTGCCATTTGGGATACGCTCGAACGACGATTCCAAGCCTCCAATCGTTCTCGCGTAATACAGCTCAAGAATGAGCTCCACAATATCTCGATGAAATCCGACACGATGACGCAGTATCTCTCCAATATCAAAACGCTCGTCGATCAAGTGGCCGGCGCTGGATCATCGGTCGACACTGAAGATATTGTGCTCTACACCTTAAATGGACTCCCGCCGGCTTATCAAGCTTTTAAGACAGCCATCAGAACCATGCTTCAACCCATTAGTCTTGATACACTTTATTCGCTTCTACTAAGCGAAGAAGTTAACGTGGCCTCTGAAGCCGCTAAGGCTGCCTCTTCCATTGACTCTAATACTGCTCTGTTTTCCTACATAGGTAAAAATGTGAAGAATCGTGGCAAAACTACTCAAAACAGAAACACCAGCAATCGCTCATCCACCACCTCCGCCATTATATGTCAAATTTGTAACAAAAAGGGTCACGCAGCGACGGAGTGCTGGCATCGCCTGAACGTCCAGTACACTCCTCGCCCGGCTACCACGTCCAACCGTGCCCTCATCACCAACGCTGACAACAACTCCACGAACTGGTATCTTGATTCTGGTGCATCTTCGCACATTACTAACTCTCTTGATAATCTCAGCATTTCATCATCTTATGCCGGCTCGGATGGCGTTACAGTGGGCGACGGTAGATCGGTACCGATTGCACATACAGGTGTTGGCATCTTACCAACACCAAATCGTAAGCTGCATCTATCATCTCTTCTTCATATTCCTGACTTGCAATTTAATTTACTCTCTATTTCTCAACTTACAAAAGATAACGATCTTTCTATTTCATTTGATCCTTATGGTTTTACCTTTAAGGATTTGAAGACCAATCAAGTAATACTTCAAGGACCGTGTAGCGAAGGTTTATATTCTCTGCGTCAACCTACAATAAAGCAACACAAAAAGGCGCTTTCTACCACCACCGTTCCGAATACCATCTGGCACGCAAGATTGGGCCATCCCCATTCAAGAACTCTTGAAACAATAGCAAAGACTAATCCTCTTTTACAAATTTCTGCTACTAGTTTTACTTGTCATTCTTGTAAAGCCTCCAAAGGGCACCAATTAGTTTTTGAAAGTTCTAAAAGTCATAGTAATAATTTTCTAGAACTAATTCATTCTGATGTCTGGGGTCCTGCCCCCGTCTCGTCGAATCAAGGTTTTCTATATTACGTTCTTTTTGTGGATGATTTCTCGCGGTTTTCGTGGATTTTTCCTATGACGCATAAATCTGAGGTTCTTAATACTTTCATTAATTTCAAGAATCAGGTGGAAAAACTCACGGCTCAGTCCATCAAATGCATTAGAACCAACGGTGGATCTGAATACTTGAACC